CTGGGAGCTTCGAAACAGGGACACTGGAAGGGATATTGTGTCAGAACTTTGCAGTGGAACCCAGAAACAGTCGCACCAGACATCGGTTGACCAGGCTCTGGCACCAGGTAAGAGAGATAGCCCAATATTGAGCGCATTTTTCCTGTCAGACCACATGGCGTCTGCTTCGGCGGGCCCACTCGCGAGTTTAAATCCGGTGCCTCCGTTTTTCTCGCAGACAGCTTTTACGATTTTGGCTACCTCCTTCATAGCAGCCTCGGAATGTCCTTGGAATTTAAAGAAAAGTCCGTCTTTCTCAAGATATTTTCGTTTTGACGAGCCTATGAAAGTACAGTGAGTGCAACAAAGAATGTGAAAAATTGTATGTACCGAATTTATTCAATGCGGCCATGAAGTTGTTGTCTACTAGCTCGACGCATTCTAGACGCCAAATGAATGGGCAAGTAACACTGAAACAGCTTTCAAACTTACGAACGTTGGCCCCGACGCCGGCTACATCAATTGACTGTCGCACTGCCTCTGCCGCTGCAGCGACATTTGGGAATTGTACAGTTGCAACCGTGGTGGGAAGAACGGGCGCGAGCCTGAGTGTTGCTGTGATGGAGTAAATATGACACCTGACGGCTGTAGGGAAATCCGGACCTTCTGTAATTATTCCGAGTGTGCCCTACAGACAGAAACTGAGTGGCAGCAAAAGCCTCAGAATACCGCGTACCTCTGCACCAATGAATAGTCTTGTTAGATCAAATCCCGCAGATGACTTTCGGGATCGACGACGTGTTTTGATAACTTCGCCCGACGGGAGAACCACAGTCTGTGATTAACACTATGAGAAAATAATGCCCGAAGAAATATAGTGTGATTACCAAGTTAAGAAACCACTCTCCTTTTGCAGTTCCATATCGGACAGCGTTAGCTATAATTTGTAAGGAAAAGTAGGAAGTCAAGGCTTGCATCTTACTTCCTGAGCAGCCAGTGCTGATCATACCGCCAATTGTTGCTGACGGGCCGGGATCTATCTACTCGAAGAGTCGGTTAAAGCTGGCGCGGCACAAGCAATTTCACTGAACGGGAAAGAACAGAGGTATTCCTGGCCCAAATTGACATGAATGTAAGACAAATCGCATATAAAAATTGACCTTTGCTCCGTAATGTTTCGTTGATTGTCATCCATCCCACTCCAGGTTGACATACAAGGTCAGCGTCGGCTTCTAAAGCCATGTGAGTATTAAATGCTTCGGGTGGTTTACAAACCAACCGTGGATGGCGATAATTTCATCCATTCCCGACATGTCGACGCAAATGCAGCCTCCTTGATACTGTGCGAGAAAAATAGTAAGCAGACAGGCTTCAGGCACAATTGCCACTACGAACTCCACCGACTTGGCCTTCCAAACTTGTGGCTCCGGAATACGGCTAGAATAGAATTAAATTGGCCTGACGAGCTGAACGAAAGAGCAAGTCCCTGACCACAACAGGCATCCTGAATTTATTTGCGATTTTCACAATTTTGACGACGTCCTCGGTGCTTTCCGGATAAACAACAACGCTATGGGGTACGCCTATCCATATTTTAGAGGGAAAAATTGCTCAGATAAAAAGACCACTACCATCGTGATGGTGATATGGCGACTCTCCGTGAATAATGAGATCAGCCTCGTCAGTCGATACACCCCCGTCACGCGTCACGAGGAAGTGCATCTTTGAGTTCCTTTATAGCCAGTTTGAAGTCTTCCGCGGTTCCATATTTTGGAGTTTGAGTGTTTTCCATTGAGAGAATACCAGTAGAATGTGCAATGCTGTATCCACCAACCGCTCCGCACATAGTCGAGGCCAGAAGCACGGCAAAAATGCCAAAGTTCTGGCGGCTGACCACTGCTTTGGGGACGTTTAACTTGGGAGGAGTTGTAGAGTTTAGTCCTCGACAGAACAAGGTAGGTGCGTTGGCATTTATAAACGCGCGCTGTCGAGAAATTCGATAGGCCCACAGGAGACGGGATGAGGACATGGGCGCAAAGGATCAACGGGACCGCGGCACGTGCCAGTTGAACTGTTCATTCTCCGTTAGCTTTTATTCCCAGGACGCGGAGTTCTGTATACTCGGACGGTATTACAACTACTCGGCGGGTAAGTTTAGTGGGTTTACTCGAATGAGAAAGACGCCAAAAAGAATCGACAAAAAAGAATCGACAAAAAAGCTGATCCGACCCAGGTTCGAACTGAGGACCGCCTGTGTGGAATATCGTCCAGCTCTTCACACCGACCATCATCCAAGAGCTCGGATTCACGGCCGCGCAAGCCCAGCTGCTTACTATTCCGCCATTTGCCTGCGGCTGTGTTGCAACCATCGCCGTTGGACTGTACTCCGATAAGTACAACCTTCGCGGTCCGTTCATCATTGGCTCTTGCCTGGTCGCACTCGTCGGGTAACCGTATTTATACATCATCGTAGCGCGCTCTTATTCCTTTTAGGTACATCATCTTGTACGTGACAAAGTCGCCCGGGGCAGGGTATGCCGGCGCCGTGTTGGCCGCTGTGGGTGTGTATTCTACTTAACGAACCCGAGGATACATTTCACTGAAGCCCACTCCAGGGTGTACCCCACCATTGCGGTAGATCTGGCTTGGGCAGGCAGCATTGCGGGCCGGCGACACCCGAAGAGGTTTGCCTCCGAAACTCTTTCCTTCTTTTTTTTCACCCATGGCTCCACTTCTTAGGTGTTGTCATTGCCATGGTCATCGGTCTCGGAAACCTCGGCGGGTAGGTTTTTGAGTGTCCTCTTCCATGTAAAACCCGCTCATGATGTGCCGTCGCCAGCATTTGCTCCTCTTTCATCTACATTACACCGTGAGCTCTTTCAGGGTTTAAGAGTTTTTTTTTTTGAATTTCTTGTCCCCAAGTCCGTACTTCCACATTGGGCATGGAACCATCATGGGCTGGTTGAGCCTCTCGTACGTCAAGCCTGCCAATACGCCCGCGGAAAGAAGCTGATATCTATGGTTAACACAGGATCATCCTGAGCTGCTTTGCTATGTGGGACTACAACCGCATCAACAAGCAGCGGGACGCATACTGTGCGCGTGAGGGCATCGATGCGAGCCAGCGCGCCGATTTTAGAGACTTGGGTAGCGAAAGCCCGCTTTTCAGGTACGTCGTAATGCTCAACCCTCGCCGTAGCGCACAATTGAGCATCAATTCAGGTATACGATTTAAAGACCAGGATTCAAGGATCGGATCGGTTGATACAGAGAGGGATCTATCTTATGTACCTATATTCTTTACCACATGCAAACTACCCTCGATTTGTAGCGAGGTGATTTTTACGACTTTCAGAGTTGTTCAGGGTCTCAAGCAAGTCACAATGGTGCGAAAACAAAGCAATTTGTTTATTTTAGTTGCTCTGTATTTCCTCATCGCTATTCACAATTTGTTTAGCAGGGGCAGCTCCCGTTCTAGATTGTTCGGTTAGTCTGGATGGAAGCGAGAGATTTTCAAAGGAACCCACTGCGCAGCAAGCGGGGCCAGCGGAACAACCATCCTCATTACAGACCTAAAAATAATAATCAGCTTCGTGGTACAGTGGACTGCGCGCGACACAACGTACGCAGGTGTCGGGGAAGCATCGGGCCTGGATGCTCGACGCCGAAGCGGCGGTCGCGAAAAGCGCAATAACAACGGCGACGAAGGCGAAACGCATTTCAAATGTCAAGTAAAAAAACTTGGAGGATGTCTAAGTGTGAATGAGGGTGAAAGAAGTGAACCTGAGGCAATGGAGAGCCATCTCAAATGGGCTGCCTTTTTATGCGAATCCAGCAGGCCGTTGCTATGGGGGATCTACGTTGTGGGGTTCAGGTCTTCTGTGGCCCGCTCTATTTTCGGTTCGGATCCGCGGGACGATCATTTTGACAAGTCTCCACGAAGGGTTGAGGAGTCGCGACGCGTTTGTAGTCGAATACGACGTTTCGCGTTCTTGGTAGATGAAGTAGCCACATTTCTCCCTGCGACGCGAAGAGCGCGCCTCCTCGCTGAAGGTACGCCTCCCTCGCTGAAGGCACGGCGGGGGGTCAAAAAAAAAGTCAAACAGGTAACAAATTTTGTGGAGTAGCGGGAGATTCTTGATGCATTGTAGAGTTGTGATGTAGTCCGTACGTCGTGCGAATTTGAGTAGTAGCTATCGCACCAAGGTATTCAATGGACGAGATTTGACAACGTGCGCGTAGGTAGTGTTGCTCAGGAGGCGATTCGATCCCGATATTTTTCGACAAAGCGTCAAGGACACAGAGAATCTCACTTCGTTGTCAAGGCGGAAAGGTATGATGTTGACAATGACGATTGAATTGTGATGTTCGTAAGATGCTGTAGTAATTTCAAGTGGAGTCAGGGCCAATGGAACACCTAACGACGGATCCGTTGGGAATGGCGGCGAAAACTAACCGTGGGTGATGTCCGTCGGGCCTCGGTCAGGGTGAACGAAATGACGACGGCAATGAGCTGAGATACGTTGCAGTGGACATGAATGCCCAAAGATCGTCGTTGTAAACAGAACAGGCGCCTATACCTAGTATGGTTCGACAAGCAAGTTGACAAGCCAAGAATCATCAGCGGAGGCCTAGGGTTATCCCACTGTGACACAGATGTAGTTGTGGTCAGAGTTGAGGAGCACAAGCAACTTTAAGCAAGAGACATGGAAGTAACATGGAAGTCAAGAGCAAGAAAAGTCATTCAACCCGAACGTAAATGGTAGTTTGGTATTTGAAAAGGATTGCGCCAGATTGCGCCATTGTGAAAAAAATAAAAATAAAAATAAAATAGAGAACACAAACAAGAATGAAAAAATGATCCGACCCAGGTTCGAACTGAGGACCGCCTGCGTTCGCACTTACGTAAGTTATGAATTAATAGTGTTCCGCGACATTGAAATTTGAAAACGGCATTTGTCCACAAGAGATACCCGTAAAAAAAGGAGGAAAAAGGAGACACGAACAAGAATCGAAAAAGATGATCCGACCCAGGTTCGAACTGAGGACCGCCTGTGTTCACATTTACGTAACCAGATGATACGTGATTCAGATGTTAGACAGAAGTGATAACCAACTACACCATCGGACCGACAACGACTTAGTGAGTATAGACTGACTACATTCTACGGAGAAAGATGCTACTCAAATTCGCACGAACGTACAAACTAAGGGTTTAATTTGTTACCTTGTTTCGCTTTTGGCCGTTGTGCCTTCAAGTTCAGCGAGGGAGGCGCGCTCTTCGCGTCGCAGGCAGAAATGTGGCTACTTCATCTACCAAGAACGCGAAAGGTCGTATTAGTATTCGACTACAAACGCGTCGCCACTGGTACTCCGCGCGCGCCTCAAGCCTTCGTGGAGACTTGTCAAAATGATCGTCTCGCGGATCCGAACCGAAAATAGAGCAGGCAAAGGAAGACCTGAACCCCACGACGTAGATCCCCTGGCCTGCTGGATTCACATCAAGATTCACATAAAATGGCTGCCCATTTGAGATGGCTCGCCATTGCCTCAGTTCACTTCACACTTACACGTCCTCCAAGTTTTTTTACTTGACATTTGAAATGTGTTTCGCCTTCGTCGCCGTTGTTATTGCGCTTGGAACGGAGGAACGAATGTTACCCCATGTTTATCCCAGCTTGGACATAGGTCTTGTAATCCCTCATTGCTTGCCAGACGAATTTTCGATCATAGTGAATTGCGAGGTCCTGGGCATCCTCCTTCAGCATAAAAACTATTTGCTTGCGTTCTGTGTCCGTAAGGAATCCCGCCGTTGCAGGGTACTGGAACATGAAGGTGAGACGCGAGGATTGAGCCAAGGAGAATGAACTGATGTACATCATATATGAAGAAGTACGACGCAGCGGCCACTGTTACGGTGTTAGTCTGTGGAAATTAGCTATATTAAGAACCTCAATACCCAGCATTGTTACTAGGATGATATCAACATCATCAGCGTATCTGAAAGACAAGTGGATTTACCGAGGCCTTCCAAACAGAACTACGGTTGGTATTAGCAGCATTACGATTATGACTTGAGACAGAACTCACAATCCATTGCCAGCCATGGAGGCCGCCAATCCCTTCCATCTTTTCGATTGCATATCTGTAAAGACGTCAGCCTTGGGGATAGCGGGTCAACTGATGCACCGACGCGAGAATACCACCAAAAGCGCCTTCGTATCCGTAGTCAATTCTGTCGATACCCTTCACATTGTAAAAAAATAACTTACCGGCGACGGTGGCAGCAGAGAAAAAGATGGCGACGCGAGAAGCCACATCGCGTCTCCGATACCACCTAGATAGATAGAAAGTGATCTGCGGATCGGAATCAGACACCGAATGGATTCGTTTATAAATCTTACGCCTGGGAAGAGACCGGCCTCCGCGAGGCCAAGGAATATTCGGGCGCTGACATTCAATCAGTGTGCAACACCTAAACAGAGTGTGATGGTCCCACATTATAAGGTCATGGTAAGTCTTGCATAGGCACATCAAAGTCATAACAAGCCCTAGTTGGAATGAGCTAATGACCCGGGATGCGGAAAAAAATCTGATGTACGAACCCCATGCTAGCATAATGGATGGAACTTCAAAAAGTTAGATACGGTGAGGAAGAGCAGCCACGGCGGTATGCTCACTCCATCGGGAAGGTCGGAAGAGCTTAAGGAGAATATTTCTGCATCGGATTTTGGTCAATAACGCGTTGCGGTGAGCGTTGGTTGGCGTACGAAGGGACCTCCGCCAAAGCATACGGAATCTATGGAAGTTAAGGGACTGAAGGACAGAAAAACAAGCAACCTACAAAGAATGCCGCTGCGATCTGGAACGCGCGTCAAAATACGGTTCTATAAGCCTACGGCGGCTACATACAGTGTTGTAGCGAAATCCAGTCAGGTGGGCGTCCTTGACCATGCCTAAATCATACATGACCAAAAATCCCACCAAAAAATTCGAAATCGGCACCAACCAGCAATTTTTGCATTTCCCTAGGGGCTTACGGTCAGAACTGCAGTTCAAAGGGAACCAGAAGCGACGCGCACGATATTTGCCCTGTCTCTGTTCCGAAGTACACGCAGTTAAGCACAGTTCCACAGCGGGAAGACGCGGACCCACAAGAACGACAGTAAGTATAGGAGCGAGACGAATGGAAGCAGGTGGACATCGATTTTGCGCAGGATCGTGGTGCGTGCACTGTCGGTGAGTTCAACGGCCTCTGTTTCCTTGCTTGCGACAGTGACATCCTCGTCATAGGATGTCTTTTCTGCCTCTTCGGTTACGGACGCCGACATGGTGGTGGGAGCAAGAAACAAGCGGACGAGTTCTCGCCGTTTATATATGTCCTGGCGTTTTTACACACATCCAACATTTGGTCAGCTGGGAGGGAATGAGATGAGATGCCTAACTTGGACCCAAACCTCCAAGTCCCAAAAGGGGATATAGATGTCACAGAGCGTTTTGTTCGAGTCTTACTGGCCGGGAAATCACGGATTCAAGAAATAAAAATATGCCTTAGATCCAATGGAAAAACGACTGGTATCATTGCGAAGACAGTGAGCTGTCAGTGAAACGGTTCGGCGGAAATAGCTGAATTCTTGACACAGAACAGAGCCCAATGCATGAATCGATTAATGATCATAGGTTCATATCATATTCGACACACACAGTCCAGATCAACTTCTCTTGTCAAGGAACTGAAAGTGTTTAAGTATCCTACTTGGTCAAAACCGCATCTCCAAGGCGGAGGAGCGATGGAGAACAGGAAGATACAATACATACCAGGAGAAAATAGAGGGAAGCGTCATTTGCTCGTATACGGTGGGGGGTAGCCAACAACAACGGGATGTCGCCCGGCCCTCATTTCTTGTGTGGTGCCCCAGGATGGCATTTCCTGAGGCCGGGTCTCGTCGAAGACTTGCGGCGCATGGCCGCCGTTCAGATCTGGGCTGTACGGCTGCTCTTCCATGATGGCCGCAGAGGAAATGGACGGCCCAGCACGGTTGGATGGTCCAGCATGATAGGTGTCAGTCATCGACTTGGGGATTGGGCCTCGGCTGCGGAAATGGTGAGAGCTTGGGTCATTCCTATCGATTGACGAAGATGAACCATGTCCTGGAGTAAACGCTGCCTGATAGCGCGACCCTATCGTGCCTTGTGGTTCTCACATCGGCTGGCCCTCTGTACTGTGAACGGCTGTGGCAGTGGGCGAAAGAGCGCGCTCATCCAGGTCGCCGTGATTTCCCCACGACGAAAACGTGTTTGAGGGGTAGCCTGATCTTCCGACCATCTGTCGAGGACCCGAGGAGGCTTCTGCGATTTTGAAATAAGACGGAGCCAAGTGGGCTGGGTAGCATAACACACCTGAATCCAAAATGGATACGACAGCCTTCTGGTTCCTCCAGAAGTGATAACCATCTACACCATCAGACCGACAATTACTAGGTGAATATCGAATGGATACATTCCACAGGATGGTAGAACCTTCTCGTTTGGAATTCCGAAACGATAGCGTAAATTCAAAGTCAGGCCTGCACGGCCTGGGAAAGGAGCGCTGATGAGACAAGGAGTCGAAACGAAGGAAGAAAGAGACGCGGAAGGAAGCGAATTAATGGAAGGGTATGAGTCTGATTTGGCGGGCTAAGGGAGACGCGTTCAGCGGACGGGAGAGAGCGAAGGGGTGGGGCGGGCAGAGAAGCTGAAACGCGTACTCACCCTCACCTCTCCACGACTTCTCCAAATCCGACGAAGCCGTACACTTCTTGACTGTGCTCGACCGCACCGCGCGCGCGGCACAAAACTCCGTGGACAGACAAACAGAGGTGATCTTGATCTCAGGCAATCGATCGGGTGTGTGCGAAGACGGGCAGGGTTTCGTTTGCCTGCGTGTCGTCGTCAGTCACATAGCGGAGGCAAGGCAAAGGGATATAAAGAGGGGGGAGCAGCGCAGCAGAGGTGCGCGGAGGAAGCACATCAAAATGCGGCCCAAAGAAAAACACCCTGCTACAGCAAAAAAAGGAACAAGATATAAGGACGCGCGCTCACCCTCTATCTCTACCTCGAACAGCATCTCATATCCGCGCCTCTTGGGCTCGGAGCGACCACCGAGGTCGGTACGAGCTCCAGGGACGCAACGCGCCGGGCTCGGGTTCCTTATCCGCCCGGACACGGCCGACAGCACCGTAGGGGTTTTTTCCTCAACACCGGCGCCTGAACCCAAACGCGAGCATCCCGCACCACCAGATCTTCCTACCCTACGCACTCGACCACCTTCCCTCCCCCTATCTCACCTCACCTCCCTTCTTGTGCACCGCATGGACGGCCAACATCGAAGAATGCTGATCGTTGTTCTGGTGCTGCAGTGGAACGGGCAGCACGAAAACGTCGCCGAAGAGCAAAGTAACGTGCAAAGTGCACGACGTTCCTCCCGTGCAGAAACTGCGCGTCAAAGCGAGTCTAAAGGCTGAGGCCTGAGGCCTGAGGGCGGGATGTATTGAGCTGCGCGATGAGATGGGGCGAATTGGGCTGCATCGTAAACCTTCTGCGCGGATTATGGTGTATCTGAAAGCCCGTTAGTATCCATTCCATCCATGCTTTGGTGGTGAACAGAGAACGAGCGCAGCGAGGGAGATGAGGCTCTGTACGTGCGCGCAACAGTCAGAGCATGCCGGATGGTCCCCACAAAGACGAAAAATATATGAAGGAATAAGACGGGGGAATCCGAAGAACCGGAAGGAAATCAAGCATAATATAGGGCTCAGTGTGGGCCTAAAGGGTCTCGTAACACAATCTCCAACTCCGGGAAGTTTTGAGCATAGGCGAGCAAGATTAATACATCGAAGATCGGAATTTTATTGGTACAGATTCAACTTGGACCGACATCTTGGTCTCCAGAGGTAGGATGATATGGTAAGATTCTAGTGCACCAGAATGGGACGACAGAAAGGGCGGAGAGGTTCGGGCGCGTCGTGGACGCGAGCAAGCATCCACAGAGGTGATAACCAACTACACCATCGGACCGAATATACAATCATAAACAATAACTTTCAAGTTCTCGTCCCTACGGTACTTAACTCGACAAAGTTCTCTCTCTCT